GCACAAGGCTGTGGCTGGCACTGCTCAGCCCGAGTTTCCCAGCCCTGGGTGACAGCCCTCAGAGACCCCAACTGCCCCCAGAGTTGAGCAGGAGCAGGTACTCCCCCCACCCCAGCCAGCCCTGGAAAACTTCTGCTCTATGCACGGCCTCTGGGACAGGTTGGGAAACCGTGAACCCCACCCCCCTTCTCTTTACCTCCAAGGAGTTTAATCTCTCCTAATCAATTTAGCCGACTCGCTTGGTTGTAAACGGTAATGATTTGCATTTTTGAGCCTTTTTATCTAACCTCAAGAAAAAAAAAATGCCTCCACTCTCTGCGTGGTGGAAGGGCCGTGAATTGCTTGTTAGCGCTCACCCTGGCTGGCATCCAGCCTCCCATCGGCTGACTTCAACCAGTGACAAGGCACACGGGACGCCTGCAGCTGACCCAGGCTGGCCCTGGAGCAAGGTCTGGCCCTCCCTTGGGGGCCCAGGCTGCTGAGCCTGCCTGAGCACCTCCTTTTTCTGCACGCGCCCCAGAGCTCCCCCCTCTTGCCTTTGCAGCCCTCGCGCTCCCCATCTACTGCATCCAATTTTCCTTGTTGTATTTTTCATAAGCTCGAGGCTCAGAAGCCCAGGCCTCTTCCCTGGAGCCTCGGGCAGGAAACAGATTTCTGAAGTGGGCTGACTTTGGAACTTGAGCTGCCACTTGGGGTGGGAAGCTGTCCTGCAGGTGCCTCTGACTTTTGCCACCCCCCTTCCTCACGGTGCCACGGGAGGCTCTGGCAATGAGGCTGTGCTGGGTGCTGGGTGCTCACTTTACGGAAGCCCGGGCAGGCTGCACAGGCTTTGCTTTGAGCCAACTAGAATCTTCCAGAATCAGAGGGCAGGAGGGGCTGCATTTGGCTTTGGTAGTGCACAGGTGTCTGGGCTGAAGCTAGATCCCACCCCAGGACACACACACTTTATAAAAAGGGGGAATGGAGTCTCTAGATTTGCCAAACATACTCCCTGGCTTCCTCCACTTCCCCTTGCCGGGCCAGGCTATCGCTGAGAGACCGTGCATCCTGAAGCGGGAGAAGCAGCCGAGCTTTGGGTTCCAGAAGGGAAGTCGAACCCCTCCTGGCTGTTGCCATCTTCCTGATGACGTCACCTCTCCTACCAGCATGGAAGGGGCTGTGACCGTGCTGCAGCCCTCACACCTGCATCCCTGCCCTGTGGGAAGGCCCACGCGGTACCCTGTCATCACCGAGGCCACAGCCAGAGGAGCTGTTTGGGAAGATGGAGGCTTCCTCGGGAAGGGGGAAGCAGAACAGGGAAGAGAAAGGAGCTTTTGATGCATATCATGTCTGCAGAATTGAGTATGACTAATTAATAGATTTTATTCTTAGTAATCTCTTAAGTATTCCATACGTTGGGCCCCACGCCTGAGCTGAGCGAACAAGAGGCCTCATTGGCAAAATGCAAATGACAGGCGGCCCTGCTGCTGCCTTCGCTTCCCTCCTTGCCTTGCAAGCCTTTCCTCCTCCTCTTTTTTTTTTTTTTTCTGAAACAGGAAATTTAAAGGAAAATTGCCATGTAATAGAAAAGAGATTCCAATCGCTACATCTAATTACCACGAAGGGTAAACCACTTAACCATAGAAGTGTCATGGGCTTTTTTTCCCCCCCTTTTAAACTTTAAACCTGCCTTAAATGTCACCAAAGAGCCTCATCACCGCCCAGGCCAGCGAGGTGGTTCTGGCTGGTTAGAAGCTGCGAGGGTCAGGCTGGCAGCTGACTTCGCTGCGCCAGTGTGGGCCACACAGATGGAGGTTTTAATGGGCTCTGTGGGGTCGCTGCAGGCCTGTGTCCCACGCAGGGGTGGAGGGGGGGAGAGCAGCCCCCTGAACCATCTATCACGTGTTGGGAGGCCAGCTTGGACCAGGAGGAGATGGGTTTGTGTGTGTGTGTGTGTTGAGGGGGAACCTGGCTTCAGGCCCCCTTTTCTGGCTTGGGGCAGGAGAGCTGTGCCATCTTCCCAGACAGGAAGTTGTCAAGACATGAAGGGACAGGGCAGATGTAAAGAGCTCTGAGAGGGGGGCCCCGGGGTACTGGCTGAGCAGAGTGGTCAGTATCCCCCAGTGGTAGAGTGAGGAAAGGCCTGACCTCTCCAGCCTGGTAAAGAGGGGCTGAGCTCAGGGCAGAGGAGGATGTGGTACCCAGGCCTGAATGGTCTGCCTGGGCAGCTGGTGGAGTTCTCATGGGCCCAGGGTGTCTGGTCAACGTGGGGGACCAGCAGCACCCCTTGGCAGAGGCAGGAGGTGGTGGTAGTGACTTGGGGGCCAACTTTCTTTTTCTTTTCTCTTTCTTTTTCTTTTCTTTCTTGGTGTGCCGGTCCTGGGGCTTGAACTCAGGGTCTGCATGTTGTCCCTAAGCTTTCTTGGCTCAAGGCTGCTGCCCTACCACTTGAACCATAGCCCCACTTCCAGCTTTTTTGGTGATCAGAGATAAAAATCTCAAGAGGGCTGGCAATGTGCTTGCCTCACATGCATGAAGCCCTGGTTCGATTCCTCAGTACCACATACACAGAAAAAGCTGGAAGTGGCACTGTAGCTCAAGCGGTAGAGTGTTAGCCTTGAGCAAAAGAAGCCCAGGCCCTAAGTTCAAGCCCCAGGACTGGCAAAAAAAAAAAAAAACAACTCATGAACTTTCTTGCCCAGCTGGTTTAAAACTTCGATCCTCAGATCTCAGCTTCCTGAGTAGCTAGGATTACATAGGCATGAGCCACTGGTGCCAATCTCGGGGGCCAACTGTCATGAGACATTAGAGAGGCCAGAGTGGGGTCCTCGAGGAAGGGGCTCTTATTTCAGAAGTGGCAAGCTCTGGGCCTCCATCTCCCTGGCTGAGGGCATGCCTTACACAGTGTCTTGCCCCGGAGCTGGCGGTGGGGTGCCCTGTCCTCCGTCCTGAGCTGCAGAGATGGGCTGTGTCGGTGATGATAGGATGTTTTCAGACATGAAATTAGGGTTGTGGAACGTTTCTCCTCTAGGTCTCATTGCATGGGAGAGGAATTCAGGCCAGCAATGCTTATAAATGGTTGTGCCCACACTTCTTGGGGCTATTCCTTGGGGCTGGGGGGGAGAGGGGAAAGGGGGAGGGGGTCCCTGTTCGGTTGGACATCCCTTTGGGCTGCAGTCAGAGCCTGCCCTTCCTTCAGCTTCTGTGAAGCGGCTGTTGGGTCCATTTTGCTCCCACCCCAGATCTTCAGTGAGGAGCCTTTGGCTCTGTCATCTAGCAAGTGGGCGGTGCCTGGGCACGTTGTGGGCATCCTTGGGACCACTGCCCAGCCTCTTCTTCATGCCTTTGCTTTGGTCAAAAGTGGCAGGGGCCTTTTGAAAACACCACTGCCAGGAGCCAGACCCCTTCTCGTCCTCCTGCCCTCAGACCAATGTCTCTTCTTTGATGACGCTTCTGCCCCCGGCACAGGACAAGCGGCGCATTGACAGATGGTGACCGCGCTTGCCGAGCGCAGGGCACAGCAGACACCGGAGCCCTGCGCCCGCTCTGCCCTCCTCCCCAGATCCGCTGCCATTTCAACATCGTTTTAATCTCATGGCTCGCCACACCGCACTGTCGGTCGATGAATGAGGGCGATGCTGATTCCAGTGGGGAGGAAATAAAATCTCAGCTCTCTTCAGGGCCTGGTCAGAACCCTTTTGGAGACTGGCATTTTAACAAAGCCATCTGGTCTCTGGACAGCAGAGTGCCAGGTATGGGTGCCGCTGCGTTTTTTTACATTGGGGTTTGTGTGTGTGTGTGTGTGTGTGTGTGTGTGTGTGTGTGTGTCAGGGTGGGGGGACTGCCACAGATTTTTGTGAGAATTCTCTTTTTCTGGGCTTTGAGCAGCCATGGAAACCAATAGGTCTAAGTCAGCTGATTGACACATACATACGTGTGTATGTGTGTGTGTGTGTGTGTGTGTGTGTGTGTGTGTAGAGAATGATAGATCCCTGCACTAATTACCTGTTCCAGGAGGAAGCATATAATAAACGCTATCAAGGTGATTGTATCTAAGGAGCTGGGGGAGGGGATGAGGACACGAGCTGTCAAAAGTGGAAAGCCTTCTCTGTCTCTGAAAGGACCTTGGCTTAGGTGTGGCCAAACTGAAACGGAATAGAAGAGAAACAGCCTTGTCCCCGCCCCCCCTGCAGGCCACCTGCTGGCACTCACATGCCTCTGCCTCTAGGAACAGCAATACCCCCACCCAGATGAGGCTCCTTCCTCCACCTCCACTCCCGACCCCTCCCCAAACACATGGTCTACTTACTCAGTGATTTCTAGGAGAAATTACATGTTTGCAATTCTATTGTCTCAGGAAATGGTAAGAACTGACCCAAGAAGTACTGTAAAGATGGTGTAGGTCTCTACCCATCTGCACTGAGACACGCCTGGTGGGTGGGTGGGCAAGGCTGCAGCTTCCATCGGGCCTTCTGTGGAGTGGAACCGAAGAGCATTCAGCAGAAGTTTGGGGGGGGGGAGTGTGATTATTTTTTTAATCGACTACATCATTGTTCCAAGAATGCAGCGAAAGACGCCCTATTTCTGCAAATCTGTAAGGGAAACGGCCTGGGAAGAGATGTCAGGACAATATCTCCGTAGCAAAAGATCTTTTCTTTTCCTGGCTCCTTTGTGAGGAGCCTGTAAACCTTCTATCACGTCCTCTCGTTCACCCTCACCGGCGAGCAGCTGGCTGTGGGATCACTGCATGGGGCTCCGCACGATGGCTGCTTCTCTCTGCGGTTCTTTTGTGACGGCCCTGAACAGAGTGTGAGGTGTACACAGACGTTGTACAGGTAGTATCTTTCCAGTTCAGCAATAAAAATAAAAATAAAAAAAAATTCCCAACCCTTCCTGCAATATTATTTTTAGTCCTTCTCCTCCCCCACCCCCAGCTGGCATGGTTCAGTATAAATTAGGTCTCCAGCAATGTCGAATCTCCCTCCTGCCTTCTATCTGTTTAAAAAAAAAATTCTTTTTTTCCACTGTTGTGGTCTACAAAAAAAAAAAAAAATCGTCAACCCTCTCCAAACTTTGCTTCCTGCTGGGAAAGTCATGGCGGAGTTTCTCTTCCTCGTTCTCTCAGGTTGGCTTGGGCTGGACAGAGCCACGGGGCCCACACCAGGTCGGCCGCCGGCTGGGGCTGGGGCGTGGGGGCAGGTGGCAGCTGGCATCAAGTGTAGGAATAGTCTATGTCGGGGATGCCGCCGTCCCGGTAGCCCCGGGTGGTGCCGTAGCCGATGGTATGCGTGCCCTTGCAGAGGCTGCTGCCGTTGGACGGGAAGATGGTGTGTACCACGTACTCCTCTTTGGCGCGGTACGGGTTGATGGGCAACATCTGGAGCCCGGGGCCGCGGATTTCCAGGATGGAGTTGTCCTTCTTTGTTCCTGACTCCATATAGTCATCCTTTTTCCTGCTGCCCCGGTTGTAGGCCCTCTCCCGGGTCAGCAGCTCGCCAGCTCGGTGCATGTACCAGCAGATGGCCCCCAGCACCAAGAAGAGGAAAACGAGAGCCACCGCCCCGCCGATGATGCCCGCCAGGGGCAGGCCCGCCATGGGCCCGGTGTTCTGCTCCTGGTTGAGTGTGGTTGTGGGGCCGTAGCTGTCGGCCGTCTCCGCCTTGGCACATACCGGGGTCTCATCGGCCACATAGGTGTTGCCCGTCTCCATGGTGACCATGCAGATGATGTAGGTGGACTTGGGCTCCAGGGCAGTCAGCAGGTACTCTGTCTTGTCCCCCTGCACAAGGGTCTCTGTGATGGAGCCTACGGCGGGGCTGTGACCCAGGCGTAGCCAGCTGAGGCGAAAGGAGGAGGCAGGAAGCGTGGCCTTCCACGTGATGCGGATGGAGTCTGCTGTCAGGGGCTTCACCTGGATGACCAGAGTCTTGGCGCCATCGCCCGTGGCCATGGGGTAGTCGATGTTGGAGTCGGGGAGGCGCAGCCCGGGCCTCTTGGCCTTGAGAGTGAACAATGAGCCCTGGGGAGTGGTGGCCGAGGCGTGGTTGCTGGCTGTGGTCTTAGCAGCCGCGTTGGCGGCGCCTCCCTGATTCCCGCTCTCGAAGCACTCGTCCATCTCGCTGGTGATATCCTTGATGGCCATGCCCCGGACCTTCTCCGGGCCCTGGCACATGAGGCCACGCACGTTGACCACGGCCGCCCGTGCCTTCACCCAGTCCCGCAGCCACATGAGGTTGCAGCCGCAGAACCAGGGGTTGTTCCGGAGCAGCAGCTGGGCCAGGTTCCCCAGGTCATCGAACAGGCCACGGGGCAGCGTGGTGAGGTTGTTGTTGGACAAGTCCAGCCGCTCTAGCTCGCGCATCTTGGCCAGTGTGTTGTAGGGGATGTGGCTGATGGCATTGTCCTGCAGGTAGAGCTTCTGCAGGTGGGCGCTGGGCAGGTTGAGAGGCGGGGCGGCCAGCGAGTTGCGCACCAGGGAGAGCTCGGTGAGGTTCTGCAGGCGGCTGAAGGTGTCGTCAGCGATGCGCTGATTGGCCAACAGGTTGCCGTCCAGCACCAGGCGCCGCAGGCTGTTGAGGCCCTTGAAGGCATGCAGCGGGATGGTGGAGATGCGGTTGTCGTCCAGCCGCAGCTCTTCCAGCGTGCGGGGCAGCCCCGAGGGGATGCTGCTCAGGTGGTTCCGGCTGAGGAAGAGCAGCTTGAGCTGCTTGCTGTCGGCGAAGGCGTCCTCCTCGATGCTCACGGTGGACACGGAGTTGTCATCCAGGTGCAGCTTCTCCAGCAGCGGGATGCGGGCCAGCGAGTCGCGGGCAATGGTGCGGACGTTGTTGTCCTGCAGGTGCAGCTCCCGCAGCGATCTGGGCAGGTTGACCGGGAACTCATCCAGGTCATTCTCGTACAGATAGATGACCTGCACGTTGACCTTGGTCTTCAGGTCCTGGGGGATGCCTGCGTTGTTGATCTGGTTGTTCTGCAGGTAGAGGGTGGTGGCGTCGTCGGGGATGTCCGAGGGGATGGACGTGAGCCCCCGGTCGTTGCAGTAGATGAAGCCGTTGTCGCAGCGGCACACCGAGGGGCACGTGGTGCTGTCGATGACCTCCGTCAGGAAGGCGATGAGCCCATAGCAGAGGAACAGCCAGTCCCGCAGATCCATGGTGGCTGTGGTCATCACAACAGTGGCCGTGACAGTGGCGGCAGGCGTGGCGGTGGCGGTGGCGGTGGGGTGTGCCACCACCATGGTGGATGGCAGGGGGAGCCTGACTCCCCTGACCTGGAGTCTGGACACCTGCAGGGAGCATGAGACAGGTGGGGTGAGGGCACCTCAGTGACAGCACCTGGGTAAGCGTCGCGGGTCTCCCTGCCACCGCCCAAGGGGTTGCCACAACTAGTTGCTAGGCCATGAGCACAGCTGGTCTTTGTTCTAGTTTGTTAAATGACTGGAGTTTGAACTTAGGGCTGTGTATGGCTAGGCAGGTGCTCTACCACTTGAGCCATATTCTGCCCTTTTACATATTCTGTGATTGTTCCAGTTTTGGGGCTTGAACTCAGGGCCTGGGCACTGTCCTTGAGCTTCTTTGGCTCAAGGCTAGTGTTCTACCACTTGAGCCTCAGCACCACTTCTGCCTTTTTCCGAGTCGTTTACTGGAGATAAGAGTCTCAAGGACTTTCCTGTTTGGGTTGGCTTTGAACTGTGATCCTCAGATCATAGCCTCCTGAGTAGCTAGGATTACAGGCGTGAGCCACCAGTGCCCAGCTTTCCTGAGCCTTTTTGTTCAAGGCTAGTGCTCTACCACTTGAGCCAGAGCTCTACTTCTGTTTTTTTTTTTTGGTGGTTAATTAGAGATAAGAGTCTCAAGGTCTTTCCTGCCCGGGCTGGCTTTCAACCATAATCCTCAGATCATAGCCTCCTGAGTAGCTAGGATTACAGGCGTGAGCTATCAGTGCCACACACTTTTTAAAAAATTTTCAGAGAAGGTCTCATGGCTTTTCGCTTGGGGCAGCTTCAGACTGCAGCCTTCCTAACGATTCCTTCTGCACAGCTGAGATTCACCAGGCCCTCACCAAATGGCCATGCTCAGCTTGTTTGCTGGGATGGGGCCTTCACTATTTTTTATTTATTTATTTGCCTAGGCTGCCCTTGAACTGAGATCTTCCTGATCTCTTTAGAGATCAGGAGCCAGTGTCCAGCCCAGTGCAGCCCCATTCACACCAAGCTTATTAAGTCACAGTTCAGGTGACAGCTAGGGTTGCTCCTTGGAGCTAGTGTGCAAATCTCATCAGGAGCAAAGAACACAAAGAGGGGGCTGCTGACCAGCTGGGTGGGGGAAGCTCACTTCGTTGATCTGGCGTCAGTTTAGGTGGCTTGCCCCGGGATTCTGCCCTCTTCAGTCTTCCCAGCTTATGCGGAAGGCGCTGGGCAGTATTTCTCACTGGAATGGGGGAGGAAGCTTCGCTTTCTGGCGTGGACCCAGGGCTTGAAGGAAAGGCTTGTTTCTAGTGGCAGTGAGGACCTAGGGGGCGTGGCTAGGGCCCTGAGGCCCTGTGCAGCACGGTGTGGCTCCCCCCCAGCACCACCTCCTACCTCAGGCAGGGGTCACTCCTGCATCTTGTAGACAGGGAAGGAGGTGTGGGAGGGAGCCAGGGCCGCCTCTACCTCACTGCGGTGTGCAAACTATTCCACACCTCGCCCCTCCCGAACCAGGTAACATTCAGCTCTTTCTGAAAAGAAAGAGATGCGGATGTCTCTATCTCTCAGCGTCCTTGCGTTTCAGGGAAATGAGACACACAGCCGAGGGAGGTGTTGTCTCTGCTCCCAGGGAAATTGTCTGCAAGGTGTAATTTGTTTTCACAAATGGAAAAATTGCAGCGTACATTTTTCTCTTATTATTTTACTGTTCACCGTGGTTTAAAAAAATCAATTAAAGAGAAATTATCGTTCAATCTCAGTAGGCAAGGCGTTTTTACATGAGGGCCAAGGTCTGCTGTGAACCTCGGGGTCACCAAGAGTTCTGGTGTGGGACCGACGGCCTCTCAGCTCGTCTGAGGCCCTGGCCGGGGAGGGCGGCCCTGCAGCTTCCGCTCAGTGACCCGGCGGGGACCTCTCGTGTGCCCTCAGGACTGTGTCCACATCTCCCCATGCCAGTCCTCCTCCCTTCTCCATCCAGCAAACTCCTCCTCACCCTTCAGGACCCAGTTCAAATGTTCCCTCCTCTTCTAGGTCTTCCAGATGCCCCAAATAGAGCTGTCTCTGTGCTGTCCATTCATTCATTCATCAGTTTGTCCATCAAACCATCCAGCCACATGCTGCTCCTTCCACTCATCCTCCACTCATCCATCCTTCCATCCTTCCATTCGTCCTCCCCCACCTGTCCATCATCTGTTCATTTATCCATCGAGGCACCCACTCATCTTCTACCCATCATCCATCCGTCATCTCCCATCCATCCACTCATCATCCATCACCCATGCCTTGTCCACCCACCCATCTTCCACTGACCTTCCATTTATCACCCACCCTTCCTTCCACCATCCATGCCTCTGTTTATCCATCACATATCTGCCCACCCAACACATTTTATTTTTTTTTTTTGAGCATCTGCTTTGCACCATCCCCTGGAGATGCCGTTCCCGTGGGCCACTGTAATGAAGATGTTGCCTAGGGTTTTCTGAGTTTTTCCATTTACTCCTCCCAGCAGACGGGAGTTGGTGTCCTCCTTAATCCCAGTTGGGCACAGGGGAACACCGAAGCTTGCAGATGTCAACTTCCTCAAGAGATAAAAACAGTTGGGTGTCTCCCTACTAGGAGAGCCCTATTAGGGGGAACCCATGACCTCTGACCTTGGGGCTGGGCTGAGAGCCTCCTGGTGCTCTGGTGTGGTATCAGCACAGGGGGTGGTGGCAGGGACATTGGCGCGGCCCCAGCCTTACCTAACGCCTCACCTCATCTTGGGATGGGGAGGGGTTAAATGGGGGCTAGAGTATGAGTGAAGACAAGCTTGAAGAGGAAGGGTGCTGCTGATTCCCTGGTGCCTCCCCCCTTATGTGATTGGCCATCACATAAACTCAGGTCCTTGCTCCCCTTTTACGGCTGCATAGCCCGAGGCTCTGATTGTGTGGGGGCCTCCACAGTCACAGCTGGCCTGGGTTTCAGGCGTGGGGCTTGAACTCTGGGCCTGGGCGCTGTCCCTCAGCTCTTCAGCTCAAGGTGAGCGCTCTACCACTTGAGCCACGGCACCACTTCTGCTTTTCTGGTGGTTTATTGGAGATGACAGTTTCAAGGATTTTCCTGCCCGGGCTGGCTTTGAACTGAGATCCTCAGAGCTCAGCCTCCTGAATAGCTAGGATTACAGGCGTGAGCCACTGGCGCCGGGCTTGGCCGGGTTTCTGACCTTACATCCCCCTTCTGCCCTGAGTGGTGGGCACCTGCCAGTGGGGTGGCGGGGCGGGGAAGGCTCAGGCCTGCTCAAAGCCCCCTCACCTCGGTCTCTGGGTCCATCTGAGCACAGGGCCCCTCTGCCTGGCTCCTAGGACACGAGGACAGGAAGCCGCCTGGCCTAGCAGCGGCTGAGTGCCGTCACAGGTGGCTTCTGCCCTTGGCTGTTCAGGGGCAGCACCCTGAGGAGGGAGCAGACTTCGTTCAAGCCAAAGCAAGGCCAGCCTTGGCGTTGTCTGGCATGGGCATCTGTTCCTGAGCCCGCTCAGCGCTCGGCCACGGTCCCTGGCCTCCCGATGCCCGCTATCATAATGGAGTCTAAATTGCACCTCTCACAGATGCTTGATGGATAACGGAGAAGCCTCAGGAGGCAGAGACCCAAGGCCTTTCCACTCCCCGGTCTGTTGGTCCATCCATCTTGCCTGAGTCTCCCCCACCACTCCCTTCCCCAAGGCCAGCCTGGGCTGAGCCCTGTGGTTCCAAGCCAGCCAGGGAGGGAGGAAGCAGCAGGCTGGACAAGCCCTTCAAATGTGCGGGTGCCTGGCGGCCCTTCTATTCCCTTGTTGTATGTTTGATAGTTCACGTAGCCATCAAATTAAACCTGGTAAATCGCCCATTTTTTACGCGATCCCTTGTCACCGCTGTGTGGATTCCACAGACTTCAGCCCCCGTGAGTTACGACCTGCCAGCGCTGTGACTGACAGCGGGCTCCTTGGCCCGCCCCCTGGGCTGGGGTGGGGGCGTGGCTTAGCAGACAGGGGCCTGGGGCATCCTTCTTGGCTGTCTGTCACTGGCTCCTGCCACCCTTTCAGAACAGAGAATTCTGGTTCAAGTCCTGTCTCTACCACCTCCAGGCTGTGTGCTGTTGAGCCGCGTGCTTGCCCTCTCAGAGGGCAGCTTTCTCACGGATGTAACAGTTGTTGGCACATCAGAATGAATAGCTGGGTGTTGGGCTTTGTGTGGCACCCCCTTCCTAAATGCAACCAGCATCCCTGATGCATTGTGTTTGAAAAGCCGCAGATTCCCTGGTCCGCCCTGTGGCGCTGCGATGCCGTCCTTCCCCGGCTATGGGGAAGCACTGGCCCCAGCCTGGGCCGCACAGAGCTAGCCCTGGCCGGCAAGCCAGGTCCTCATTAGGGGCCACCAGGTGCAAGAAGGGGAGGGAACAAGATGAGGTACATAGCTTAGGTCTCCCCCCCCCCTCTTTATTCTGCGCCTGAGCTGTTTCTGAGCTCTTCAGCTCAAGGCAAATGCTCTACCACTTGAGCCACAGCACCACTTCCGGTTTTCTGGTGGTTCATTGGAGATAAGAGTCTCATAAACTTCCTGCTCTGGCTGGCTTTGAACTGCGATCCTCAGATCTCAGTCACCTGAGTAGCTAAGATTACAGGCGTGAGCCACCGGTGCCGGCTAGCTTAGGTCTCTTCTTGGACCCTGGAACTCTGGCACCGGGCACACTCTCTCCTATCCCCTCTGCCTCCCCTGGGCCTTTGCACATGCCCATCCTACTGCTTCCCATTGGCCTCCGCAGCCAGTGCCCATGCCAGCCCCTCCCACCTCTTGGGGAAGCTATGGCACGCTGCCCCGCCGCTGTGTTCCCGCTCCACTGGCCAAGTGGAGTCAGCAGGGGCTGAGCCATAGCTGACAGCCACCCAGCCGGACTCCCCTGCCTGCTGTCTTCCCTAGCCTGGGACACGGCGGCTGCCAGGGTCCTCTGCAGGCCGCACCCAGAGAGCTTCAGACCAAGGCCTGGAGCAGACGTGGGGTGCTTGCTGTTTGCTCTTAGCCCTTGTGCCCACCCCTGCCATGGGGGCGGAGAGAGGGGCCCACATGCACTCTCCCTGCAGGG